TACGGCTTACTTAATTGTTAGATCACCAAGTAAGAGCTTCTTCTACCAGTTGATACTGCATTCACCGCCGCCTTGCGCTTCACTAACTGTTCAGCTGCCGCATGAGCAAATACTGGCGCTGCCATACTGCCGTGTAGTCAGCTGTCTGCTAAACGACAGCATCACTGCGGCGCCATCAATGAGTGAAAATTTTCTTGTCACTGAACAGAATGAGGTCTTTGCGAATTACTTATTATCACTCGTGAGTACCTTAGAGTAGTTAGAAGTTAGTCAGTGACTGATCATTGAAATGGATTTGCATATTTGAAATTGAAATATTTTTCTGTGATTATTCAACAGAAACGTGACATCATTTTCTCCTTCTTCAGCATCGTGGCTTGTTGTCACAGCTGTTTTTTATTTCACTCACCTACGCTGGAAAAGGTATGAACACCAGAGAGTCAGCTACCTACGATCGAAAGAGATGAGATTTTTGCTTTTTACGATTTTCAGTTCACACATGTTATCCGTTTCTTGGTATCGCATTGAAATAGTTGCAATACATTTTCAGCTTTATACCTTCATTTCGAACTTTCACATGTCCACGCGGATAGAACCTGCATTTCAGACTAGTTGTCATGTCGTAAATCCTTGTTTCATCATCAGTTGCGACCTCACTGCCATAATCATAAAAATGATCAACCACGTCGTCGTAATCGTCGTCATTCACCTCCTCCTTCTCCTCATCCATTATCCTGACCATCATTATCATCACCAGCGACATAATCACCAACCTGCTTCGATGTGCTGCAGGTGGAAGCCTGTAAAAGACTTCGTCTGAAAACCGCGTCCTGCATTTCTTATAAACTTCGGCCAAAAGAGCGTTCTGATTTCTCCTTATGATATATCCGTAGGTCCCCCTTCTGAAAGAGCGTTTAACATCTGTTTATTCCAGAATTGATTTGATGCCCCTGCATTATGTTCAGCTCATTGCTATTTCAACTTCTACGTTCCTGCAATGGCATCGCAGAAATGATTCTATGTTCAAATACATTTTTTACA